CAAAATAGTTTTATTAATAATAATCAGATTTGTAAGGAATCATAAATAACTGAAATTTTTTTCTCAGTGCCAATATAAAAATTTCACTACCCACAAAAGGAAAAACATTATCAACCTATTACATAAATAGCATGAAAATAATTTCCATAAAATATTTATACATGCTTTATTTCAATTTATAAATTTTCATTTTAGTTTTACCTTGATATTTATAAACTATTAAGTGCCACATTTAAATTAAAATATGCATAGTTAGAATATACTGAGTTATTAATATATTTTGTCCTTATTTTTTCCTTTTATTAGCATATTAAAAACAGGGTAATACTCATCAGGAAATTGTTAATGTATTTAATTCTACACATTAAACATTAACTTTTTATGATCTGTGGCTTGAGCTTTAAATGTGTAATTGTAACTTTGTTGATCTGCAGGAAGATCCTTAAAAATTCCAGAACATAGAATATGTTAGATGCTTCATGTGGTAATGAATCTATCATCAGTCCTTTGCACGTATCCACCAGTAGGTGGAGCAGACAACATAATTTATTACCTTAGAAAAAGGGCAAAGGAATGAAAGTCTGTTTATTTGGAAGAAAACAAATCTGCAAATGAGATTTTCTTCAAAGGAAATATGTCCTGTGTGCCTTAGATTTACTTTGACTGGCTACTGAATCAAAATAAATAACTTTATTAAATAATCAATCTTTGCGGAGAGATAAATTAAATTTATAAATGGAGGCAATGTTTGCATTTTACTTATTCAAATCAAGTAAAATTAGCCTTCTTTTCGTAAAACTTTTATAGGGACAAAGATTTTTTGATGTGTTCATTTAATAAGGGAACTAAACCCAATCCTGTTTTACTGGTGATGGGGTGCATAACAAATAGTATTTTCTGGGAAATATAATTGACTAATGCTATTATGTCTGTAGCAACAAATTAACCTTATTACTACTAGTAAATGGTGATTGATTATTTATGCAAATAAGTTACCATGTTCAGCTTTCTGATTGAAATAAACGTATACTAAAGGTGCTTTAGTATGACTTGAACTTTTTAATTAATAAAACCCTGAGGGGTCTATTAATTCACTCATTGCAATATTAGTTATTTACTTGTATAATTCCTATTAGCACTAACATATTAGCTTGCATAAAGATGAGATTGTGACTCAAAACTGCTAACAGAATCTAGAACTACTTTAAGAAATACATTTGATTTGGACTAAAAATAGGCTTAAAACTAATTTTAAAAGTATGTGGTTAGTGTGATTATTGGCATAAACACCCTAAAACTTTTAGCACATTAAATGACACAAAGGATTTCATTTGTTAGCTATACCTAAATCCCAGGTTCATTTTTGGATTATAAAATTCCTTACCTTTTCTGAAGCATTCATTTGTCCAAATTAATGATTTATTTCTTCTCACCTAAGTTAAGCTATATTAGAACTACACAAATTTAATATAAAAATTGGTATTTTATACACTACATTAATATATTCCTAAACTTTTGAAATTACAAATAAAATGATGTTTCCCTATTTGCTAAAAATGCTACTATGATTAATCCTTTTAAGCAAGTTAGCAAAACTTTCCCTATCCTGATTTATTCCTTATGAAAATGATTTGCAGTATATTTTCAAATATCTACATTTAACACAGAATGCAGGTCTTTCAAAATATTCAGTTTCATATTTCCCTTTATTTTTTACTTACATGTGTATTTAATGTAATTTGAGACAAGTCTTAAAATAAGCAATGAAATTAATCTGTAAGCATCACACTGAAGAACATTTTTAAATTTGTGCCTTAATTTCTCCCTGAAAACCAAGTCATGCTGAGAAAGTCAGTAACAACATTCAGAATGAAGTATGTTTTTGATTCTCTGCATCTTCCTTCTTGAACATTATTTATTAAAATAAATGAGTAGCAAATGGTCTCAGTAAAATCATAAACATAAATGGTTCTCATTTTTGTGAAAATTATATAAGCTGTAATGGACGAGTTGGGAATTTCCTTCTACTTTAAAAAAGTTGATTGTCATTAGCTATAAATCAGCCAAATATGTTCCTTATGTATAAGGATCACATAGGATATATTTGTATGTTCTAGCCCTAGCACAGCATGAGAGAAATTGCAGTTATTCAAAAATTAATTAGAGTAATTAACTGATGAATCTCAATGATAATATTTATGGTTGTTCTATTAAATCTAAGTGATGTATATATTTGTTTAAGGTAAGGTGATTTGTAATTGTGATTTTCAGTATCAGTTTTAAAATTGAACTATTTTATATGATGATAAAAACTGATTTAAAGCTAAGTGAGGCAAATCTAGGGGGTTTGTGGGATAAAATTTTAACATTTCCATACTATCCAGTTAGCACAACTAATCCCCTCACCAAAGCAAACAGATATCATGACTCTTTCATGGCAATCCCGCAAAAAAGTTTGTCTTGGGAACAAAAGTCTCTCCAAGGGTACAGAGAGCTGTCCTTTATCAACTAGTTACTAGACAACAAATATTAAGATCATAGTGACAAGGCATACCAACCTGCCAGATCCAAATATAAATCCCTGACATTTTTATAACATTCCTCTCCAAGGGAGGTTATTTGAGAACATAATTCTCTCTGTATTGCCCTCAGATTGGGGTGGGGTGAGGAATACCACTATAAAGATTTCTAACTACTTTTCATTAATAACTAAAAGGACACAAAGAAAGGAAATAAGAAAGTAAATGCTTCCAGCAACTAAGACAAACAGAAGAAAATGAAAGTGCAGAATTATAGTTTATTCCTGACAAGTTAAATTTGAATAATATGATTATTATCATCTACTGAATTATCTCAAAGGGCCTAACACTATTTTAAATATATTACATTTAATTCTCAACATATCCTTTCAAGGTCCAGAGTGAAACAAGCCCATGAAATTCTTGCTCATCTCCTGATATCTTATTCCAGTGGGAGAGCGTGGGTGTCACTTGTCTGATGATGCAGACTGTACTCATTCGACTGTACACAGCACCTCAAAAAAGAACCATATTATTGGACACTGGGGATTTCTAGAGAACAGTCAACGAAAGTTGATGTTCATTGGAATTCCAGCAGCTGGGATGACACAAACAAGAAGAAAAATGAGATAGAATGCTGACAACTTGCATTTGTTAACATGAACATCCCTAACACACAACGGCGGTAATATTATTTGAAAATTTATTAAGATTCATGAGTCAAGTCATGTAGTCAAGTGTGTGAAATGATTTGCTAAGCCAGGTAGTTAATTTTAAAAGTAAAGGAACTCAAAAGAGTTGAAGAAATAATGCATCAAAAGAGTCTCTCTAGTACATGGAAAAAACAACATGGATTTTTTGTATCATATTATTTTTACAGTAAAATGACTAAGTCTTTATGGACTCCCCATAAATTGTTTCACTTCATACTTAATATGAAGTATGGGTTATCTAATATATGGGTTATCTAATATATAGATAACCCTGCATAAAACAGAAATAACAAATGTTTCAATTAATCTGATTTCCCCACTTTTAGAATTTTTCTCTATTACAGTATTTATCATATGTAAAAATAGCACAATTTGAACTCAGATGTAAGAAAATTCAAAGTATAAAGAGGCATCAGGGTTATCAATAGAAATAATACTACCCGAGAATTATCAGACTTAAAGAGTTAAAGAAAATATAATTTCATCAAAATTGAAATTACTAAAAACTAAATGTAATAAAAATACTTTGCTGAAAATAATAGTTGATTTAGAATTCTATATTTTTAATGCAATCCACCAATCATACATCTATAATTTTTATACTGCTATGGATTGTATCATAGAAAGTAAAAATGCCTTTTTTTATTTCAATTATTATCTTTAAATTATTGCTGATGTGTTTAGAGTCAAAAGACAAAAGCATAACAAACGAATTTGGTTTTAGGACAAAGTCTACTATGACCAGCTCTATGTCTATAAACAGTCACATAATTATCTGATTCAGTTTCCTTGTCTGCAAATGACTTAGGTATCCAAAACCAAGTAAATACTAAGATAGCCATCAGTTATGACAGTGCTATGTTTTACACAAACACACAGGAGGTACAGGTGCAGGCGTCTGTAATCTAAATACGACCATCTCATACTTACTATGGCTTTGAATTTGGATGCCTCTAAGAACAACATTCAGTCAACGAGACTTGAGAATCCTGTCTGATCTGAAGGTATCTGACTGTGACTCTGGCTAGAACTAGGTGACAGCACTTGAAAGTCCCTGAGAAAAAAATAAAAGCCCAGACATTGCTACTTTCTTCTAAACCGAGGCAACAAAACATACCTGAGCCTCCAAATTCATACTTTTTTGTAACTATATTTCTTTGTGAGCAAAATATCCTATATGCAATCTATTTTTTCTTAGCATCCATGACAAGAGCTGAGATACTGAAATTTTGGCTCATAAAAGAAGATAAACTTCTATGTATTCCAAATTCCACATTTGTGACCCTGTAGGACGATGTCATGGCTGAGGCAGTTTTGTGAAAAGCTATACCTGCAAACTTGCCTCAACATTTAGAGAGCGCTTTTAAGAAGGCTTTAAATGTTAACATTAGCCCAATTAAAAGAGAAAACAGGAAAGAGACCTCAGCTTAATAACTTCTGATTTTTTGATCAATTCACAACACAACCATGAGCCACTCAGAATGGGTTTTGAAAGGGAGGTTATGCCCTTTGTGTTGTGTTATCACAGAGGCAGATCACTTTGCTGACTGGGATCTTTCAGCCAGCCAGGCAGCGGCTGCCTCTGCAAGCTGCTGTCACAGACAGTCCTGGGGCTGCACACACCTCACAGCCGCCTGGAATTGAACTCGAAGTAGTGTCTTTGTGATATCTTTTCAACAAGTCATGTCCCATTCAGCCTGCTAGTTTATCTCTGTCAGGCTGGAGGCCCAAGTGGCTTACGGGAGCTGTCAGGGACAGGTAGACCAACCTGCTTTGTGCTGAGCAGGTGATGCATCTTTCGGGCTTGGTGAGCGCTTTTCTTCTCTTCCCTTTCGAGGTTGGCCTTCTTTTCTTCTCTCTCTCTCATCTCTGCAAACTCCTCCAGTGCCTCCCTGCACCATAACAGCCAGCAGTTATTTATGGGACTAAAAATCTGCTAACATTTTAATTCTTTCACTGACAATAATCAAATAAGTTTTTGAGGGGCAACCATCACCCACATCCATCAAAATCAGTAGTGTAATCTGTCTTACCTGCGCGTTCACCGTGAATCCTCGAAATCCTTAAAAGCATTGAAGTGAATGTTCAGTGGTTAAATGTTAACAGTCAAATACCTACATATTATAATTAATTCAATAGCTGAGCAAATATATCAAATGCAAAGGAAGTGACAATTTCTTTGGTTGAAAATGAATGATTCTGAACAGACTTAAAGGTATAAGAAAACCTCTAAGCTACTGATTTCCTTTCATTTTATTTTCGTATTTACAAAGCTCTAACTTTTTTTTACACATATACTGGTTTTATTGTAAGTTTACTTCAGGTAACATTTTTAAATAATAACAACAAGGTTATAGATATTATCCTATACTTGCAAGGCTGACCCTGTGTCCAGTTTTATAATAAATTAGAATAAAAGATAAATTAGACGAATAGGCTCATGACTTTCTAAGTACAAACAATCCCATTAAAATAACAAAAGTTTTCACCATCTATGTGTATCTCAAAAACTTAAAACAAAAAAATATTTTAAAACATAATATATGAAAATACCTGTCAAATATAACAACTATGGAGAAGTAAATCCATTATTGTTATAGAAGTAATTTACCTGTTTGTGTTAAAATAATGTTTTTAATTGTACTTTGTTCTTCTTGAAAAATACATAAGTAACACAGTGTCTAGTTCCATAAGCAAAATTTTAAATAAATCATCTGAGCACTGACCGCAGAGATATCAGGGAAAAGCAGAGAGGGGAATACCAAAAATTAAAAAAAAAAAAAAAAGATTCGCATGTCTACTTCAATGTCTAGAAATATTTCTGTTGCAATTTTCTGTTACAGGGTCCTCATACAATACTTCATACAAGGTTACTTACGAAACACACTGACGTTTAAAAATCACCATGCTATGCTATCGCAGCAGAGCAATTTTTTTCAACATAAGATTAAATTGCAAAATAAATGAATTACTTGGAGTGGCATGGCCCTCATTTTGCGATCCTTCTCTTGAAAATTGCTTATTAATATGAAAAAAGGAGTCAGAAAATAGCCCGTTTTTCTTTATGCATAGTATTTGGGGTCTTTCGCTCCCCTGCACAGAGCCGGGCTAGCTGCACATTTAGATTGTGTTGGCAAGCTGGTACAGTGACCTTTCTGACCTGCATCTCAAGGCTATTATTAATCGCTAAGTAACCTGGTAAAGCCAAACAAATTTGTTTCCATTGAAAGGATCTCTATCTGTGTCTGAGAATTTGTTCTGTACCAAACAAACCTCATTAACTGTGTCCATTTTTGACAAAGAACCAGGAGTTAGAGGGATTGGTGACCTTTCTTTGTCCTTAAGGTACAAATTTCAAGGCAGTTACATATGAATAAATGTGAATTTTTCTAGGAAAAAATAATAATCGTGTGTTACATTAAAAAATGAAAAGAGTATTAATTTTAATCTTTATTTTTGTCATTCTATGAAAAAGTCTCTATAATTATCTTAAAAGTCTTATTATCTTAAAAGATAATTTAAAATAGCCAATGAACTGCCACTATAAGGATAATTACTCAGCTATGCATGTAACCAATTGTATGTCTATCCAAAGATAAAGATGGTATTTTTCTGAGCAATTGCAAAAATAAATAAATAAATAAAAAGAGAAGTTGATGCTCTATAGATTATTTAGTAGATAAATAGGAAGACACCTTATATTAAAAAGAAAAAAAGGACCTAATATAATGAGCTGCATACATGTACAGGTAAAAAGTACATAGGGCTTGGATACAAAATAAAAAATGCAAATTATCTGAAGTAGTGAAAGCTGTATATCTTCTGGATATGGAAATACAAAATAAAACAGTGTGTACTTGGGGAGTTTGACAAGGAGAGCTGAGAGTGAGAGATATGTTAAAGAATGTCAGTGCTGCTATACAAAGAAAACACACAATAAGCCCAGAAAGAACTGGGAAGCCCAAGGAATAAATTCAAGAAACTTGCCAGAACACTAGAAAAACTGATCTGGGGTTATCACAAATCACAAAAGTAATTAATTTAATAAATTTATACAATTATTGAAAAAATCAATCTTACACTCCTAATTGATTTATTGCCATACAAGATAGTGTTGAACACTCTCTGACATATTGAACACCACAGTTATATTTATGTCAACTACTCTTTGTTAAATGACCAAGTAGGAAGAGCTGAATAAATTATTTATCTTGATATACAAGTTTTTGTTACATCAATAAAGATGAAGATATGGTGCCATGTAAAGGATGCAATAAAAAATTATGATTTCATTAAAGGTTAAATGATGGGAACCACTATAACTAGGAGACCCTACAAAATTATAAAATATAGTATCTATATTTATCCAGGGACTTTTAAAATATAGTATTTTTAAAAACCTAAATTTTTTTCTCCAATGATTTCAGGTTGTTTTTAATGTGTGTGTGTATGTGTGTGTGTGTGTGTGTGTGTGTATGTGTATGTTTTTTTTTTTTCATTTCAGGAATACTCCCTTATTTCTAACTTCCAAAAAATAAAGATTTCTGCAATGTATATGAGATAAGTATTACTAATCACCCCATTTTACAAATATGGGAACACATGTACACATGAAGTGATTGCATTGAATAACAAATCAGCTAGTGGGAGAAATGGAATTAGAATCCCTAGATCTGCAGATTCTCTACAGGAGTTATTGTGATATAGGAAATATTATGCAGGAGATATTTCTGTTGAATTAGCCACACATATTTTCTTTAATCTTATGATCCTGTCATCTGCAACCTAGTGAAAGAAATTTGGGTAAGCCGCAACACTTTCTGCATGGGTTTGCATATAGCTAAAGCATCCTTTTTTTTTTTTTAATAGGTAAAGCTTTGCATATCATTAATATATTTTGCTAGTATTATCTATATTGATAATAAAATATTTACACATTCTAATAATGACAGCAATAATAAAATTAATAATAGCCTCTTAGAGGCAATAGAGTGGAGAGGTTAACAAAACAGACTCTGAAATGAGACCAGGTTTATCAAATTTACTGTGCTAGTGAATGGCTGTTTAATTACTGAGTTTCAAAATCCTCCTCTGTGAAATGCAATTATATTAGTTGTAGCATTGCCTCCATCAAGCTATTGTGAGGATCAGTTAAATCAATTGATATAAAGAACTCGAGTAGTGGCTGCACAGCAAGGTTCTCCAGCAATGGGAGCTGCCCTTTGAATGTTTTCTCTGAGCCAGGAACCAGGTGACATGACTGTCTGCTCAACTGGAGATGAATATTGTACTTTCTTAGCTTCCCTCAGGGATTCCCTTTCCCTTTCTCCATCAGGATGCACTTGTGGATGAAATTCCACAATGCTGAGAGTAGAAGCTGTCTTCCTAAGAGGCATGAAGCATGGGGCACACCTCAGCCAGTGGGAATGGAAATGTAAGAGAATTAGGCAAATAAAGTTCCCTGTCTCCTGTCCTCCACATACTGCCAACCTGGAGAAAATCTGTGTGACCCATCACAGCACACCTACCTGCTGCGCTACAGGGAGTGGCTCTGAAGCCTTATATGCAGAGGTAGTCAGGGCTGCAGGAGCTCATCGGACACCATACCTCCCTGTAGGACAAGCATCTAACTTCATTCCTCTCTGTAGCACAGAGCCCATTCTTCCCTGCAGGACAAGCGCGGCCAACCTCCAGTTTCCCCCGAGTATCTGGGGTTGACAGCACATAGCTGTATTTCACTTGAGAAAATCAGCTGTTCTACTCACCCCAGGTTTTGTCACCTTCCCCACCTAGCCTGCATCTAAAGGAACACCCAGGCCCAGACTCATTGCTCAGTGTGGGGTGACTCTAAAGGCCCATCCAAATCTCAGAGCTTCCTGAGATGGACTAGACCTCTGATGCCCTTCACCTTCTCCAGTCTCTGAGCCACAGAACGAAAATGATATATTTCCATAAAGTAATATGAGAAAAAAAGCACTCTGCTCAAAATTAATTTCTTTCACAAAGACTATATATAGGATGAAAAATCCCCAAACTCATAATTAAAATTTGAGAATTATCCCCTTCTAAATAATAGTGATGAAAATTATTCAGAGTTCAACATTTTTTAGCAGATTTCATGCAATACTTTAACATAATAAAAATTACTAACATGGCCAACTAAGCCATTCAGAAGGGAGCTATTTATTCAGCCATTTGGTTTGACTTTCTTACTTGTTTCAAAATATAATACTAAAAAAATCTTTCTATAATGTTTGTGTTCTTTTTAATGTAGAATAAAGAAACAAAAATCTCTACTCCCCATCTCTAAAAAGACTTCACAGATGCCCTTAAAAATAATCTCCAGATGCTCCTATTCTCATGCTTTACTTCTCTTTTATGTGTCTATTAAGTCAGCAATATATTATAGCTGTCTTTATAACCTATTTCTTCTACTCCCCCTACTATGTGCTAAGGTCTTTAAGGTCAAGATTAAGGTTTATATGTTGACATGTCCCCCCACCAGCCAAAAGAGGTGGTCTAATATCTGGTATTAACTCAGTGGTCTTCTGAACTAGTTCTCAGCCTACTGACACATTCCATCACTTGTTGGGGTTTAACTGGAGGAGGGAGAAGCCACACAAAGTCTCTCTTGGGAACTGGGGTTGCACCAGAAGTTGGTTCTCTGTCTAGGACCTTGGTTTTCAATGTATCCCTGAAACAGCCAAGATAGCTTTACCCCAAACAACTATACCAGAGATTCTGGGGAAGGGACCTTAAAGCTATCTTCTGCCTGTTGAAGTTTGAGAAGCACCAGCCTTTGGTAATAAAAACTATGAACACTGTAATGTATGGCATGGAGAAACACAATTCATTCAGTTAATAATGTTAATCTGCATATCACCATGTTAGC